TGACGTAAAATATTAGTAAATAGCAATTCGCAACCCTAAAAGGTGCGAGGCATCCCGCCTGTGAAACAGCGCAACCTACTGCAACGACGTACAATGCTCTGAAACTGTACGGAGCTTGGACACGTATCACCTATTGGCGGGAGTACAACAGAATTCGATAGCTTCAGATGAAAAAGAGCACCTGTACAGATCGAGAAGCTTGGGTCCGGAGAGCTGGCAAAGTGGATGAACCGAGAGACTATGGGTATCATCACCATCATCATCATCAAAGACAGCAACATCAGTGTTGGCACTGACGCTTCACTGCCGTACAACTATGGGAATGTGCGCCCAGCAATTAAGACAGATGACTCCGCTCGTCCTGCACCGGTTTTGCAGCCAAGAGCTGTCACCGGCGCCAACATCCTCAGGCATTTCGAAATCAATCTTCAAACTCGACGCCAAGTCTATCTGGCGGCCTTCAATATCGTTACTCTGAAGCAAGCGGAACGGCTCTTGCCCTCATATTAAACTTGCTTGGCATGTGTGTGTATGTGCTGTGTATCAAAAACAAGAATTCAAGATTCAAGCAGTGGTTAAGCTAAACGCCTCATCTCCACTAGTTTCCGGCTACGCACCACTAGTGATCCGTAGGCTACGCGGGCTGTGCAGGGTTGGTATCGCCCTAAGTCACCGGGGGAAGGATTCTTGCCTGATCGAATGCCAGTTGATAGTGGCCTAGCAACGTCTGTGAAGGAGTCTCACAAGCGGGAAGTTGATCGATGTGTCTGTCATGTCTGCTTACGCACCAACTGACTGTAGCTCTGACACCATCAAAGATAATTTTTATGACGCCATTAATGCTCGATTGTGATGAGCCGAAAGCTCAGATATCGCTATGGTTGCCGGAGATATATATTCACAAGTACGCACGCTTAGCGCACCCGAGACATAATCAGGTGGCTGATATGGATTGGGACCTGTAACTATGGACAATGGTGGACGACTGCTTCAGTTGTGCTGATCGCAGGCTGTTTTTATGTACTACTAGCTTCCGAAATAGCTGAAGTCGTCTGGCCACATGACATCCTCAAACGGTGTGCCGGCCACGGACTCAAGTCGATCACAATGTTATCAGTTACCGATGGCGCGGATCAGTAGCTGACTGTTCCTCATTCTGAAACACATTTGTTGATTCCGACCACGCAAGCGTCCGGAGTCGCCTCTCTTTTTTCCAGGGCTGCGTAAGGTGCGGACAAATCGCTTGGCAACTGAAAGACTGGCAGATCCAGATGTTGAACGAATTTACCAGCAGTGTTCTAGAGTTTCCTCCAAACGCTTTACCATCAGATGTCAATTCATACTGGCACGAAATTGTCACCTTGTCACAGTGATGCGAATTTTGCCCGTGGCACGACGCTACCAGGCCAAGCCAAGCATAACATATCAGACCAGTGGCACTGCAAAAATCTGGGGAAAATATCGCAGACGGTCCTAAATATAATTTGACGCGACGAATTATCAGACGTCAAGTGAAAGTAAGCGTGTGAATCGACCGTAAAATCTAGTGAGCACAGAAAGCCAAGGAAATGGAAGAGGCCCAGAAGGCCGGTAACGTTCCAAGAAGCCTTCTGTCAGCAAAACCATCGGAATGGAGTATGCATCTAGAATAAAGAACTAATCGACCAGTGGGCGGAATACATCGAACAGCTACCGTAGCCACCATCTGCCACTCATCTAAAGCCCAAAGCTGAATAAGAATCCTGGACGATGAACGTGGTGAATCCCTACAGCCTCCGTTTATGATAGCATATATTCTCTCAAGCGCCACCGAGCTTCTAGTCCGGATGACCTCCCACCCTCATTGTTGAAGGATAGGAGTGATACCCACGATTAGTGTTCGTCTGATTTGTTTGCCTCGATTTGGGAGGCTGTCCAAGACAACTGGGGAGCGCCATTTTTTAAAAGAAAAGGCTCATAGTGGGGGGTCAGCTTGACCCCGGTCATATCGAGACTTGTGCTTCATCGTCTTACGGTGCTCCTGAAACACTGACTCGAGAGCCTGGTAGGGTTTGCGTTGGCCGGAGCTTCAAACTCTGTCAGGTGCTAGAACAACGCCATACGTACAAGCAACCCACAATTTTAGTATTTCTGGATTTCCAGGGTGCATTAGACTAGGTTCACCATCTGTTCTCCTTGACTCGCTCGCCCATCAAGTAATGTCCCGGAAGTTTGTGAACATCATAGGTTCTTTGTATTTCCAGACTTCTGGACGTGTCAGAGTATACAAAGAGCTCCCTAAAAGCTTCCGTACACAAAGGGGTGTCCGCCAGAGATGCCTACTTTCCTCATCCCTTTATGACTTCGTGCTCGATGAAATACTGAAACAAACGCTTAAAGGTCTTTAAGGCCCCGATGTTCAAGTAGCCACTTACAAAAATATTGTCGATCTGGAATGAACAGACGACATCATTCTCGTCTTCTGAGAGAAGCCGAAGGCGTTTTTGGATCAACTGACCAAGGTTATCTCGTCTTTTGGTATGCAATTTGCACCTACAGAGTGTAAGGTCACGCTCGTGGACATGAGTCACTGAATACACCAATTACAATCCAAGGAGACACCGAAATTTGTGGAGCGCTTCATGTATCTTGGAAGTTGTACCAGTTCTGATTGTAGTATAACGGATGAGGTCAACCTACGAATATGCAGGGCTCAGATTGTCTTCGCTAAGTTGAGACAGCTATGGTGTCAAAGCAGTATATTCCTGAATTTTACGGGACGTGCGTAAAAAGCGACAGTGCAGGATGTTTCGTTGGCTGTGAAACTTGTGAGATAAACTGTGAGACTTGATCCGTTAGAACAGCGGAAATGAGACGTCTTTAGGTGTTCAACAATCGTTGTCTCAGAATCGTAGCTCGTGTGGGCTGATGTCAGCGAAACTACAACCAGAGAATTAGAAAGCTAGTTTTCAGTGGAGCAGCGGGTACTTTCATTGAAGGATATGTTCAGCACCAGAAGCTGCGTTGGTTAGGCCATGCATTGGGTATGCCAAACCATCGTTTGCCGAAGACAGTGCCGTTTCCCGCGACCAACGCAGAGTGGCGGAATCAGAGATGCCTAGCATTTGAGCTGATAGAGGGGTGTGATAGAGATTATGAGACGGTCGGATGAGGCCGGTGCTGCTCCTGCTCCAGGATGGGGACCGCGTGATCCACAATACGTCGAGTTGGAGACGCCTTGAGTTATGGCTGCTAATCGATATCAGTGGCGTCCTTGTTGACAACTTTTACATAAACTACCTGAAAAATCGTTCAGCCGTAGCAACCTTTCGGTGCCTAACTGCCATACCACCAAAAGGAAGCATGAGATCAGGTATACTGTCAGGTTGCCCAAGCCTGGGCAAGGGAAGTCGAGAGACAGAAGTCGGGTTCGAACCACGAATCTTCCGGTCAGTCAAGTCGCGCTCTAACCATTGCCTGAATAGGTATCTGGAGATGTAGGCACCACAGAATGGCTGTAGTAAACTAGCACTGCCCTCGTTCATTCCTTACGATTAGGCCTCCAAACAAATCATGGTTTTACGGCAGCGAAGCATGTGTTGAACACTGTCATGCTGTCGACGATGACGTGCAACAGGTCAAAATAGACCTCCGATAAGTCAAAAAATCACTGATGAAAAAGGCTCCCTTGCCTCCAAAAAGCAAACCTGAATCGGACATTTTAACGAATTCAACAATCCATAATCATCATCATTGTCAGCTGTAATAACTGCGTACACGTCGTACAGTGGTTGTAGCTGCCGCAGTTTCGTTCACCGACGATTGGGGGGAGGTAGGTAGCTGCGCATTGCGAGCGCAAGCTGGCAAATTGGTGCATATATCCAGCATTGTCAATCAGTATTGGGCTGTCAAGAGGGGGGGTTGGAAAAGGAGCTATGCATTGAAGGCAATAGCTTGGATGCACGAGAGCTATCGAGGGCGCTACTGGGTCGTCTGACAATGTCTCTAGCCATTGATGTGGCCCGTCTCGGGGTCCCCATCCAGGAAGACGGCAGTGGCCAGCGCAGCTGAGTTTGCTGGTAATGGCTTTGACACTTCGCTGCCAAGTCATTGTTTGACCACCTCTAGCTCTCTTCCACCCTTCACGCGGTTGTACGAAAAGAGCCCTCCGAGGAAGTCGGTCGACTGGCATACGAAGCACGTGGCCAAACCAGCGCAACCTATGCAGTGTGGTCAGTTCACCCATCGAGGGTGAGTTATTTCTCCCGAATACCATTCGACGAACTTCAGAATTGCTGATCCGGTGTTCCCACCAGATTCGGGCAATGCTCCGAAGACATCGATGGTCAAACACTGAGTCTTTTGACGTCATCGGCGCGCAGCGGCCAGGTCTCTGATCCATGTGGTAATATGGAGCGCACCGCAGTATTATAAACTCGACCCTTGACAGAGAAGCTGATGACACGCCTACACCACAAGTGACGTAGGTTCGCAAAAGCTGCTCTAACCTTCCGAATCCAGATGGAAATATCATTTTTGGCGAGACCACCGATTCAACAAACCACCTGCAAATGCTACTAAAGGAGGTCCGGACAGTGCACTTGGAGCCTCCAATGGCTTAGGAAATAAGCGAGTACCTCACACTAGCGTCACCCATATGGCGATACTGACGAACTCCCGCTCACTGTTTAAGGATGGGTGCTCTTAAATATTGCTCATAAGCAGCGCCAAGCACTGGGACCAAAACGGTATCCTGGCGCAGTACCGGGTGAAACCCAGCAGGTATGAAAACCCTGTTACTCTGTTTGCAGCATCTGAGCGCCTTCGGACGTGGTTTTTGTTGCTTACTCTGTTTGCAGCATCTGAGCGCCTTCTTGTACCAGGATTCGTTGGCTGATTCAACGAACTCAGGTAATGTGAGGCCCGGTTTTGGATGCAGGGTGTACGAGCAGTGTCGTCTTCCATGATAAGACACCGCAATTGGACACATGTGGTAGCTCCAAAAGCCACGGGATTTGGTTTTAAGTCCTATCACTTCTCATCGGAGAGACTAAGACAAGAATATGGCTAGATGGATAACCAACCTGGGTGATGAGTCCCGTGAGACATGCCTGATAACGCTGTCGATCTCTTGATAACTGGGCGAGGCGATCTTTTGCTTCGTTCAGTAACGTCTACAGAACTGTCACATGATAAATCCCGTCTTACCTCGATGTGGTTTTCTCTGCTCTGAAGAACCTTGAGTCTTGATTGGTGTTTGAGATTGGAATCTTGACTAGTAGAGAAAATCAACAAAACTAAGCTTGCTCACATTTTCTTAGTCAGTTCTATCTGCTTCTCCTTCCTAGCATAATACTCCATGATTTTCAGCCTTTGGTTCTGAACCAAGCGTGACTTTTCTATCTGAAACTCCTCTTCGGCCTAGGACAATAAAAATTGTGCAAGATATACACACTTTCGCATCGATCTCCTCCACTTTCTCACGGGCCTCCTGGTCTATGAAAGCCATCATATGTTTAATCTGAACGATTATTTAAACTTAGAGAGTCATACCTGACGCTGCACTTCAGTTTCATTGAGCGCCATTTTGACAGAACAGAAAGGCGACGAAATTCGAACGCGCCGCTCCTAGTTGAGTTCGAGTAATCACTGATTCACGGATTTACACGCAGAATGGAAGATCAAGGGTAAGCCTTTCAGGTAGCCTAGTCGCTCCGGCACAAGCAACTAAAGTTATTAGCACAACTCTTTAGGATCTCAACGTTGGACAATAAGCGAGTCATCACGAAACCCACATTCACGGATTGATAAACGGCACCAACGATTTCGCCAAAGTTTCCGGGCCGGTTTTGTTTTCGACGTTCAGCGGCTGCCGTTCACCTGGAAGGCGTCAGAGAAAAGGAGTGTATCACTGCTTTTTAAGCTCTTATCGCTGTAGGAAAGCTTGCCAGCACAAGGACTTGTTTAAAAATGTCTGATAGTGCCTTCAACAGGATATTAGGTGTAGCGTAGACAACAATCGGAGGAAGGCCATTCCAAGAAAGTTTGTCTAATGGAGGTGTGCGTCTTGAGCACAAAAATCTTCTCACAATGTTCCCGGCGTGTTTTAGCCGGTTTGACAGTGAAATGCCTGTTGACCAAGCCTTGTTTAAACAGGGCATAAGTAAGTAAACGGTCTCAGTGGAGTCGACGATACTCCAGGGGAAACAGGTCAAGCATCGCGAGACGCGGTACATAGTCCACGGATTTAAGGCCAGCGTCATTTTCGATGAACACGCTCAGTGAAGATTACACCCTTCTTGCGTCCTGAGTAAAAATACTTGGGTGGCATAATGAAGAAGCGGTCTGACACGGGTTCCATAGGGTATTCGGAAGTCCATGAGAGTAATACAGGAGAATGTGTGCCAAATCATCCGTAGAACAGTGGATGCCTTTTGAGCCACTTTCTCGTGATGCGGTATGCTCGCGGTACGTTCGAAATCGGTTTCGTTTTTCCCTCGTGCAAATTCGTGGAAGAATTTTTCTGCTGTTCAAACAATTCACAGAGTAAACACGGGTCATTTGCTTAATTTTCCCACTCTAACATAACATCTGGCGCTCAGTTCCTGATTTGCATCCAGTCTCAACCATGACATTAATGAATACAGACGCGGTATGCAACACCACACCTGCCAGGCCTGATGGCAGGTGGTATGCACGGATTTACAGGACGACCAGTTGGGCCAATCAGCCAACTCTCCTAACCCGTTTGTCGGCGCCAGCTATCTCTACATCAAGGGTTCAATCCGTGTCGCAGCCGAAGAGACAGCCGCCGAAACCGGAACCCAAACCCCATTGCTGAATAAGAAACACCCGTGTGACTGCTCTGCTTTGATCGGGATACTCGACGAGAAACCGGAGCTTCTTTCTAAAGCACTGGAGGATGCAAACACAAAGAACGCAGCAACCTGGACGAAAGATTATAAAAAAGGTTCTTTGCTGAACAACTGCCTTGCGCTATCCATCCCTGGTTCGTTGACAGCGAAGAAAGTCATTCAGCTTTCAGGCACGACAATAAAGACCGCCATGGCGTCTCTAGTGGACGGGCGCTTAAGGGAGAGCAGAATGATAAGTTGTGGATCATTCTTCAGAAAAACCACGCTAACGAAGCCGGCACAGTCGCTCCATTGCAGTGTTCCCACTAAGCCTGATCATTAGTCGCTCCGTGCAGAATGGCTACCCCAGGAGAGAAGCAAGTGAACACTTGGGCTACAAGTCACCCTTTCCTCCCCATCTGCCGCACAGAAGATCTTAGATAGGGCTGGCAGCATTCAAAGCGCCTATCTAATGATCAGGCGCTATCTAGGGATTGCTAGGGCACAGCAGTTCCAGGGCAGAGGTGCGAACAGTGCTTTCGCTTGGCGCCAGTTAAGCCGACCCCAAACTCATGGCCAAACCGATTGCAGTCATAGCTCCTTGTGCTCCCGAAGGAATGCCCACGCAATCGGTCGAGTCCACGAACAGCAGTTCCTATTCAACCACCGCAGACCCCTCGTCCACCAAAGGTAGTGATGCTTTGAAGGAGGCAAGCCTCACGTGAAAGCGGCGCCCAAAGTACAGCTGTCAGCGCTTCTTTCCGTAACAGACAACAAAGGTGCGGCAGTGAACTCCTCACCAAAGTCACAGCTTTTGAGCTGGACCAAGTGAGATGTGCGGGGACAAGGAGCAAAGCCCATCGGCAAATCAACCACATGCATTGACCTCGATAGTGGAGAATGCTGCGACAACCGTACGCTCACTGGGAATGTGAAACTGCCTATCTCCAGCTCCACTCTGTCAAAAGTGGCCTCTCTGCTTGTGGACACTGTTGTCGCCCAAGACCCAGGCAGCCAAAGCCACAAAAGTGACCTCGGCGAACCGGAAAATCCCTCGCAAATCCAGTTGGCCACGTCAAATCAAAAAGATGCCGGCTGGCTTCAAGGTGTAATCCTCTGCGAAAACGAGCCCGTGGGAACGCCACCAAAAGAATTGTTTCTTGGTGCCACCACACAGCTCCCAGGGTCACACAAAGGCGCTTTTCGATCAAACCGCGCCAAAAGGCCCAAGAAAACAGAAAGACGATAGTTTGCCCCAGGTCTTTGACCAACCCCAAATCTGGTCATCCGAAAGGCGTTGTTGAAAGAGCTACAAGTAGCCCACGGAGAAGATACTCTGTCCCCCAAATCTAAAAGGCCTGAGCGAGCCGGTGTCCCATGGGGCGAAACCCTGCAAATGCAAAGCATCCCCAGAAACCGCAAAGACAGGAAGCAGACAATTGTGCCTCAAAGGCCATTTATAGCCTTGGACTCGAACCCGCCGTACAACTATCAAGTCTGCCAACCTCCCTGGTCACTCAACTCCCGGCTTCTCATCCTCAGAGGCAGCAGAGACAGTGTTCAAATGCCTGCCTACAAACTGCCCCAGCTTTCTCAACAAACTTTGCGATATTAAACAGTCAGCTTGCCTTGAACAACTGTCCATAATCGCGCTAACAGGGACCTGGATCAGCCAGATGTCTCTGACGTGGAGATGTCGATAGACAGTTACTCTGTTTTTCGAACTTACTCAAAACGAGGGAGGGTTGGTGGGGTTGCTCTGTACTTACATGCGGCCCTGCCCATCCCCATTGTCCTCTCTGATACCACTTCTGCAGCTTTTTGCGATTCACTGTGGGTCCAAATCCCGCTGCGCGGATCTGATTCTCCCCTTCTCGGTGTGATCTACCCTAGCCCCCCAAGTTCTCCTGAAAATGACTAGTTCCTAATACGAGACCTTGAGCAACCTTCCTCTAGCTGCCACCTCACTCATCTCCTGCTGCAAGCTGACTTCAACGCTCCAAACGTCATGCTGCTCCAGAAACTCAAACCCTTCGGTAGTCCGGGGAAATTCCCACACTGGATCAAGGCATTCCTACCAGACAGATCCTTCTGAGTGAAAGCAGCTCCCACCTACACCTCCAATGCGTTGGTCTCCATTAGAGATCCTCAAGGCTCCGTTCTGGGGCCACTGCCGTTTGTCATCTACGTCAACGACTTCCAGATGTTCTTGCAAGTTCATGTCTACTTTTGGCGGAAGACTTGAAATCCTGGAGTTCCAGTGCCTGTGCCCTCCAAATGGGTGTAGACGCTGCCAAGCAGTGGCCTTCGGATTAGCACTTTTCTACAAATGACAAAAAGCGTATCCATACGGCATCCAGAGGAGATTCAGCGGATGCCTTTTTCATGCATGGTGAGAAAGGACCAGAAAACACCATGAGAATAGGCGCCAAAAAGGACTTAGGTATCCGGGGCCCCACAAACCTGTCCGTTCTCACTGCGCCATGAGAAATCGCGCACCTTCTCCCGTATTACTCGCGTGGACTTCCAGATACTCTATGGGGCCTACGTCAGACCGCTCCTTGAAAACACCAACCAAGTTCTCTACTCAGAACGCACGAAAGATTTCACCCTCATTGAGCGTGTCCAGCAAGCTGCTACGAAAATGGTTGCTAGCCTCAAATTCGTTGACTACGGAACGCGTCCCGCCGTGCTTGACCCCCAATGGAATATCGTCATCTCCGAGGGAACCTAATTCTAACTTATGCACTGTCTGAACAGAGTTAGGCCAACAGGTGTTTCAACGTTGACCCAACAAACACGCGACGGGGACACGGTAGGGAGAATTTCAAGCTAAGAGTGCGCACCTACATTTTCTCTCTAATTTTTTCTCGTTTCTGGTAGTAGCTGCTTGGAATGACCTCCTGCCGCGCTGGCCAGCATGCTGCTCCGCGCTGAGAACATGAGGAGCAGCGCTACACCATTTTTCACTTGTGCCTTTCAGGTGAACGACAGCCGCTGAACGACAAGAAAAAACTCGACCCAGGAAACTTGGGCGAACGCCTCGCTCGTTCGTGTCAATCTGTGAATCCGTGAGTCCTTGATACATCCATCTGGTTGACGCTGTCATCTGGACCCCAGAATATCAGGTCGTGTGCATAAAGTAAACGTAGATATTAGGGAACGTCTGGATGGTCAATGAGGCACATCAGAAACGGAAGTGATCCTAAAACTGAGTCCTGACGGACTCCAATGGAGAGTGGCGCTGGAGAGGAGTAGGTCACTTCTACTTACATTCGGAATACTCTGTGTGCATGGGACACCTTCATCTAGCATATCGAAGTAAGTTGAATTGGGAGCAGGACGAAACGCTTTTGTAGGAAATATGTTTCCCAAACTCACCGACCGAAATGAACCAACTTGCTGTCTTATAAATTTGTCGGCTCCATTAATGAGATCTTTCGGATCTTATTTCCGCCGTGCATTAGCAGATTCAACATATGCTATTGCTGCACATCTGTCTGCCTCCGGACTGGGTGCACATCTCCGGGGCGCCTGGGCTACTTTGCTGTCCGGTTTGTGTCGGGCTCAATATTTTGAGGAGGGGAAATTATTCTCAAACTGCTGAAAAAATTCCACCGGCTACTCAGTGAAGCGCAAGAGTTAGAATAGCGTACAAAACCTACTATTTGTAGACACGATATCGGGTTGTTCCTCCGGGTCGCGAACGCGGTGCAAAGAATTTATTTACCA